CCATGGACAGAGGAGCCTGGCGGGCTACAGTCCGTGGGGTCAGTCACAAAGCTTTGGACACAACTGAGGGGCTAAGCACAGTAGAACCATCTAAAAATTGATCCAAATGCTAATAAATAGTTAATCCAGAAAAAGGAAATGAAGCTCAGGGAGGTTAAGTCAGTAGCTGAAGGCCACAGAGCTGGGATTTGCACCCAGGCAGTCTGCTTCTTGATCACTGCTCCCTGCCCTTCTTCTGACCTGAAGTGCCGGAAGCACACCTCCATCTTCACTGTCTCTGCAAGCACATGCTGGGGAATGTTTGAAAAGTCCCAGGAACTTGGTGGAGGCCAGTGTGACAGGAGCAGAATGGATGAGTGGGCAGAGTTGCGCTCTGAGGAGACACAGGGGCAGATCACACAGGACGGCTTGTTTATTGAGTGCCCGTCCGGGGGCAAGGACCACAGCCTGAGACGTCCTAGGAGGAGAAGCAGACAGTGGGCTCATAAAGTGTGAAATATATTGGATGGTGATAAGTGCTCTGGAGTGAAATAAAGCAGGGAGGAGAATAAGGATGCTCTGGGGGGGTTACCATTTTAAATATGGCTTCTCTGAGAAGGTGGCATTTGGGCAAAGATTTTGAGAGACTTTGGACTTTGAGAGAACAAGCTGTTCCAATATCAGAGGTGGAGGAAGCAAATGACTGGCAGAGAAAACAGCATGTGCAAAGGCCCTGAGGTGCCTGGTCCTTGGAAAGAGTAAGAAAATCAAGGCATGTGGAGCAGAGCAGGAGAGACGGACAACAGTGACATCAGAGAAGAAGGAGCAGGTCTTGCAGTCTCCCCACCATGGCAGCACCACAGTTTTACTCTGGGCGATGAGGACCACTGAGGGGTTCTGAGCAGAAAAGGAACATGACCCACCTCCTGGGTGCAGAGACCCCTCAGGCTGTGGGCTGCCAGGGGTTGGCCTCCTTGTGGGCACCTGCTCAGTTTAGGCTGACAAGACCAAATAGGAAGTCATCAGTCACTCTCTGGAAAGTCATTCCTCCTTGAAGTGGTGGAGAAGAAAGTCTCCCGTTCCTTCCTGTGGGACGTTGTCCAAACCAGTGAGCAGTGATGGAGCAGGGAACATTCTGGAAGCTTCTGGGGGCTCAGTGCAGCCCTCACGGCCCCACAGTCCTGTTAGCAGCTTGGTTCAGTGCCTCCTCTCAGTGGGAATGGGTGGTGAGTGGCAATGTCCTGGTGCCCTGATGCTCCTGCACCTGAGCACTGCCCACCACAGCCCCCATGAGGGCGGAGCTCCATCACCTGCCTCCGGTCCCTACTGCTTCTCCGTGAGGCTCCAGCCAATTCACTGAATGCTACCAGTCTCTGCAATGCCTGCAACTCCATACCCACAGAATAGAGTCTGTCTGTCCCTCCAGAGTGTAAGCTCCCAGAGAGTTGGTTTTGTGTTTATTTTCATTGTTATCACCTTCAGAACTTAGAGTGGCAACTGGCTCATGACAGATACTTGGTGACTGTTGAGTGAATGAATGAGTGAGTGAATTTTCTTTACAGTATTGGGCTGACGTTTCATCATAGGATTAGGCTATGTGAATAGACAGTCTTATAAGTCAAAGATGCTTCAATGTCAACTTAAGTGGTTCAGCCTAACACTTCTTGTTACAATTGACATGTCTTTGTTTATTGGCTTGCATAAGCCCTTTCTTATCCACTATCCCAATTCAAATGTCCATTCATGAAGGCAGAATCCTGTTGTTCTGTAGTCCTAGCTTCTTGGCACATGATAGTTGCCCAATAAATGTTGGTTGAATGAACAAATATATAGAAGAAGAGAGTGAATGAAGGAATGGAAAGCAATGTTCCTCTCTAGAATGAAAAGCCTGACACACACAGTCCCATTGACCCTCTTGACAATCCCATGAATATTGGTAGAGAATAAATGTTAATGAACTCTGATGCTTTTAAGAAGAATTCCAATACCAGACAAAAATAATATCCCTCTGAGTCAGTGAGCAGTGTTTATGGAAGAATTTCCAAAGCTTCTTGGAAGCTCAGAGAATTCCTGATGTCTTAAGAGGCTCTGGTGGGTCGTCTTCCTCAGTGTTCTGAAAATGCCTAGTGCCTTGTACTGCTGGTTTGGGAATTAGTGGCTTGATAGTGGACAGTGGGGTTCAAGCATGTCATTAGAGATCAATAGAAATTTCTGGACCCAAATTGGTAATCAGAGAACTCTGCAAGGCCAGGAGAGCCATGGTCAAGATTGGCTCTGGGGGGTGTACAAGACAAATAACCCCTCTCCTGCTCAGGAAGTTGAGACTTGGTCATACCAGGAAGGCTGGAGACTGGAGTGGATGCAAGAAGATGGATGTGTGCTGATTCTCCTCCTGTCCACAAATAGACATGAATGACGCATTCCAGCCCCAACTCAGGCAGGTTATAGTCATTGACAGACATGCGCATTTCCACATTTCAGGGGATTTTGTTCATATTTGGGGGGGTTCTATCTTCCTAGGATCCTGAGTTTCCATAGCAACAGTGAAACTACCACTCCTCCACTGGGGTTAACTATAGTAACTCCCTTATATATACGAACAAATTCTGTTCTGAGAGCATGTTTGTAAGTCCAATTTGTTCATAAGTCCAATAAAGCTAGCCTAGGTACCCAACTAATACCATCAGCTATGTAGTACTGTACTGTAATAGGTTTATAATACTTAACATACAGTAATACATTTAAAAAGCGAACAAAAATTAAAGAAAACATTTTTAATCTTACAGTACAATACCTTGAAAAGTACATTCGTCCAGTATAACAGCCGGCACACAGGGGCACGTTTGCATCTTTGAAATTTCAGGGGGCTTACTGTAATTGCAGCTTTCCACCAAACTAAGACATCAGAGGGGCCGTAAGCTTGTTTAGCCCAAAATGGGAGACAAAGCCAGCATGTGATGTCACCACACGTGTAATGCATGCAACACGGAAGGCAGGAAGACTTCACTTTTTAATACAAATGAACCACAAAACTTTGGGACATGAACCCCCAAAACTTCCCCATTCACAGTTTAAACTGGCTAAGTGACAAGATTGTTCCCGGAAGAAAAGAGTTTTTGGTGGTAGCACATGGAATGGACTTGGGAAAGTTGGTGAAAAGCATAGAATTTGCCTCTCTGCCCTTATATCTCTGTGCCTCCTTCCCCAGCCTAGGGGATAAAAATAAGTAAAAGAATTAAAATGGTAAAATTTTAAAGTAATAAATTATAACAGTCACCAACAAATCAAGCCAAGGAGGAAAGTACATTAGGGTCCCCGCCCCATTGTATCAGGCTTTCCTGGTGGCTCAGATGGTAAGGAATCTGCCTGCAATGCGGGAGACCTGGGTTCCATCCCTGGGTTGGGAAGATCCCCTGGAGGAGGGCGTGGCAACCCACTGTAGTATTCTTGCCTGGAGAATCCCCATGGACAGAGGAACCTGGCGGGCTACACCCCATGGGGTCACAGAGTTGGACACGACTGAATGACTAAGCACAGCACAGCTCCATTATATCAAGACATCTCCCATCCGTATAACATGAACACACCCTCAGCTGTCAGGTCACTGGAAGGACAGGCTGGGTCTGCAGGGACAGCAGACAAGCAGGCAGCCCGTGCCCAGGAAGGGACCAGCCTCTGCCAGCTCCTCCAGGTGAGACATGTAGCTAAATGTTCCCTTTTCTGAAGGAATCTGGACTTTTATGTGAACGATCCCAATTTTTAAAATGTTGACTGCTAAATCACCGTTGGCATTTGTTGTTGTTATTGTTGTATAGTCGCTAAGTTGTGTCTGACTCTTTTACAACTCCATGGACTCTAGGCCCCCAGGCTCTTCTGTCCATGGGATCCTCCAGGCAAGAATACAGGAGTGGGTGGCCGTGCCCTCCCCCAGGAAATCTTCCCGACCCAGGGATCTAACCCGTGTCTCCTGCCTTAGCAGGCAGATTCTTTACTGCTGAGCCACATAGATCTCATTATAAAAAGAGAAAGAGGAAAGAAGGAAGGAAAGGCAGGAGAAATGAAGCAGAGGGGAGGAGGGGGGAGAGGGAAGGAAGGGGAAGAAAGAAGCTCAATTCAAATGGTTTGCCATGAACTCTTCCACGAGATTCTGCCTGTGTGAAAGTTGGTCCCACCGGTGCCTTTTTTCTGTATGCTGTCATTTCTCATGGTTCCTCCCCACCAGGGTACACAGGTGGTCACTGTTAGGGGCAAGGAGGTCCTTGTGTCCTCTGATGCCCACTGATGGGTTCTTCTGGGGGATGACCTTGGGTGACAAGAGATCATCAGAGTGGAGAAAAGATGCTCTGGTTAGAGGAAGGGTCCAGCCCTGGGACCCCCTGCCTCGGCAGGGCGTTTGCAGAGGGACCAATGGAAGGACATTTGGACTCATGGGGGGCTGAGCATCCCACTTCACAAGAGTGATCAGACAGGACCAAACCCTGAGATTCGGAGGCTCCATAGAAGTGTCAGATTTGAATGCCTGACGGCCACTTACCATGTGTGTCAAACAAGGAAAACTGCGTGTCGGTTTTCCCATCTGTAGAATGGGGCCAGTTGCATTACCTCACTCCTATGGTTATTGTGGGTGACATTAGTTACATGGCAGTAAGAAGCTTGAAGCAGTAGCCCTATCTAGGGTAAGAGCCATACATCTTGGCTGGTATTTGCAGAAGACCTGGGGGTGGCGGGGGGGGACAGAGAGAGGATTTTTCCAAAGAGGGAGAAGAGAGATTCACCTCCGCACAGGAACCTGCAGCTCCGCTCACGTGCTCCTGGCACGTTAAACAGAAAACGTGCACACAGGGGAGGAAGGCTTGTGGGTGTGAGGGTTTCCTGGGCTGATCCTGCCGCCCTGGGGAGAAGCCGGGGATGCACGCGGTGAGTCAGACCAGGGAGCCGGCTGGCTGTGGGGGGACCCAGGATGCGGCTCCCTGCAGGGCGCTGGGTTGACCTGACCTGTGTGTCTCCTCCTGCCTCCCCAGCACATGCGAGAGGCCGCAGAACGGCGGCAGCAGCTGGAGTTGGAGCATGAACAAGCCCTGGCCATCCTCAACGCCAAGCAGCAGGAAATTGACCTCCTGCAGAAGGTGAGCTGGGCTGGGGCTGGGGGCCTGGGAGGAGGCAGGCAATGTGCTAGGAGCCTGGAGCGTGGGTGACTGGCTGCTCTCCTGAGCCTTTTCTCACGCGTTCGGGAATGACTTCTTGGTGTGGAAAGATTCCCCGTGTTCTCTAGTTTCTCCTCAGTTAACTTGTGATTATGTTCTAAGCTGCAAAAATCAAAGGAAAAGCTCTAACAGTTGATGCTGGCGAGATTGTAGGGAAAACGACACGCCTGTGGGTTATTAAAATGGGGTGTGAGTTGCTTTATCTCTGGGGGCAAGTGACCTGACAGCATCCTTGAAAACTAAAAACACAGGTCTCTTTTGACCCTGCAACCTTCTGTTCTGGGAATATGCCTGTAAGAAACACAAGAACCAGTTCTGAAGAATGGTTTGGTTTGGTTCGACTTGAATTGTCGTCCTGCTGTGTGGGCGTAGGTAATAGGATTAAACTGAATGCCCATCTGAGGGTGAGGCTGTGTGAACTGTGGGGCATCCATACCACAGACCAGCATGACCACATTGGGAGGAAGAAATTCGGCTTATAGATGCCATCACATCAGATTTACATGATGTGTTATTAAGTGAGCAAATCAAATTTTGGGGCAATATATGTAGCATGATCTCATGAACCAAGGACAAGAGAGGGAGAAAGAGAGAGACAGGGAACACAAAAAGAAGAAAGCGAAGGAGAGGAGTAAGGACAGAAAAGATGTAGGAAGAACAAAGGACAGAAACCAGAGGGAGGGAGAAGGGGACAGGAGGAGGGGACCAAGCAGTTCAGAAGGTGTATCCCCATGGCACCTGGGGTGGTTTGGGGACCAAGAAAGTTAGCATCCTTAATCGGCAGCCTTAGTCTTCCTGTCTCTGTCCAGATGAATCTGGGGACCCTTCCTTCAGAACCGTGGGACTTGGCATCCCTGTGTATATTTCTCATTGCATTTTATTCCTGAAGCCCTGGGTCCCCCATCCATGGGAGAGCAGCCCAGCCCTTCCAGGCAGGACTCAGCTTGACCACTGATGCAGGTGGTGGTCCCAGACACCACCGCCCACCCCTGCCACAACTGGGATGAGCAGCCGACACCTCCTCCTTCCCCATCGGGTGGTGCCCCCACCCCCAGCCAGCCCCTCCAGATCTTTGATCTCAAATAAAGGACCCAGTGGCTCGCCTTATCTGGCTGGAGATCCCTATCTGTTGGAGTATTTTTCTCCTCCTAAGTTTATTAGCAGAGCGTGTAACATCAAGCAGATAACCTCTGATGCTGTTTTCCTAATCATTTATGGAGACCTCGTGCTCAGGATAGATTTCATTAGGCTGGGGCGATAGAGACTGTCACAGTCCTTATTACCTGTCATAGTAAGTTGGCTGGCACGCTGAGAAGCAAGATTTCATTAGATGCTATCCAGAAAGGATATTGCTGGGATGCAGACAGCGATATTACTCTTCTCCCTCTTTCTGTGCGTGAGGGACCTTCCGGTGCCTGGTACCTGCACTCCTTCACTGCATCCCTGGGAATCACGTCCCCAGGCTGGGAGCATCCAGGACAGAAATACAAATATTGTCCAGCAAGGGTGACAGGTTGGCTCTTCTTACCAGAGCGTCCTTCTCTTCTAGCCTGGAGTTTTATCTATAAAGCACTTGATGCCAAGGAAAGTGCACTAGAGCCAAGTCCATATTCAGCTCCTAGTGTCTCTCTTGAGCATCATCCAGCTTCCTTTGCTTTTGCTTTTTTTTTCCCTCCTGAATTCATCCTTGCCTCTATTTTGGACACACTGATGCTTCCTTGGGAGGTGGGTCGGGGGGAGCAGAGGAAGAAAATCTAATGAAGGATGAATGTACAAACCTTGTGTTTTCATAGAGCTCTGATTTTTAAAATAAAAAAATGTATTCGAAGAGAAAGGTTGAGACTTATATGGAAGGAGATTGGTGAGTTCTTTCCAGAGTTCACGTCTCTGTTCGATTTCCAGCACGGACAGCCCTGTCCATTTGCTGTCCGGATCACTCAGTCATTCATTCACTCATCAGCACATGCTTGCTGGCTGCCACCTATGTGTCGGCTGCTCAGCCGTTGTTCTGGAAACCAGGAATGCAGTGCAGAGTTGGACAAGAACTCTGGCTTACAAGAGTGAGAGTAAGCGAATAAGTCATGAAGAACTAAAAAGTTCAGATGCCAGGGGAATGCCATAAAGGAGACACACGGAATGAAGACTGATGAGAACAATGACTTTATATGGGGTGCAGTTGAAATGAGTGGCAGACACCTATTATAGAAATGCTCATATCCTATGGAAGGCCAAATCCTAGCCCTTGTCCCTCTACCATAATAAGAGTCACCGGAGTGCTCTGAGTTCCAGTTTGATCATCATGAGATAGCAACGTGAGATAGTTCCTAGAAGATGTCTACAGTCCCATTGACTACAAGTCCCATTATTTATTTTTATTGGAGTATAGTTGATTTGTGGCTTCCCAGGTGGCGTTGTGGTAAAGAACCTGCTTGCCAACGCAGGAGACTTAGGAGATGCATGTATGACCCCTGGATCAGGAAGATCCCCTGGAGAAGGGCATGGCAACCCACTCCAGTACTCATGTCTGGAAAATCCCTTGGACAGAGGAGCCTGGTGGGCTACAGTCCATGGGGTCACAAAGACACACAACTGAAGTGACTTAGTGCACACACACATAGTTGATTTATAATGTGTTAATTTCTGCTGTGCAGAAAAGTGATTCAGTTACACCTATATATATATATATATATACACATATATTCTTTTTATAATATTCTTTCCCATTTTGGTTTATCCCAGGAGATTGTTATAGTTCCCTGTGCACTTCAGTAGGACCTTGTTGTTTATCCATTCTATACATAGTAGTTTGCATCTGCTCATCCCAAACTCCCATTGCATCTGCTCATCCCAAACTCCCAATCCGTCCCTCCCCTAATCCTCCTCTCTCTTGGCAACCACTTTCTGTTCTCTATGTCCTTGAGTCTGTTTTTGTTTCATAGGTAGGTTCATTTGTGTCATATTCTAGATTTCACTTGTGAGTGATATCATATGGTGTTTGTCTTTCTCTGTCTGACTTATTTCTTAGTATGATCATCCCTGAGTTGCATCCGTGTTGCTGCAAATCCCATTACAGGATTTCTTGGATGCTGTCCTGTGGGACCCAGCTTCATCTCAGCAATGCCATGGCTTTTGCTAAATCTCCTGTGTGTGGATGTCCTGCTCAGTGGTTAGTGTCCTGCCCTCCTCCTCTTTGACCCAGAGGCACACTTTGAGAGGGTCTATCTTCCCAACCCCTAGGCTTCCAGGATCCTACCCTCTTCCAGTTTTCTCCTTCCTCACAGAAGCCCTGTAAGCATCCTCAAGACTCAGCCTGCAATCCACGTCTCTTTTTTTACGTTTTTAATTTATTTATTTGGTTGTGCCAGGTCTTCCTTGCTGCACAAGGGCTTTCTCTAGTTGCAGTGAGCGGAGGCTACTCTGGTTGTGGTGCTTGGACTTCTCATTGCGTTGGCTTCTCTTATTGTGGAGCATGAGCTCTAGGGTGCATGGGCTTCAGAAGTTGTGGCTCCCAGACTCTAGAGCACGGGCTCAATAATTGTGGTGCTCAGACTTAGCTGCTCGGCAGCAATGTGGGATCTTCCTGGATCACGGATGAAGTTCGTGTCTCCCGCATTGGCAGGCAGATTCTTTACCACTGAGCCACCCAGGAATCCCTCACATCTCTTCTTGATCTCCACTGCTCCCTCCGTGACCTGGTCTGGTTCCATGGGTGTGATTGCCATCTGTGTGCCAACTCCCACATGTGGATCTCCAAGTTGGATTCCACCGAACCCCACTTCTTTGGTCCAACTGGATGTCCAGCTTGCATGATCTCAAACGTCCTGTCCCAAGCTGAAGTCCATTCCGTCCTCAGCAAGGCATGCTCTGCACATCTTGCCAGGCTCTGCAAAGGGCAGTGTTTCCTTTTTGGTACAGCCTTTCCTTTTCCCCTGGAGGGAATTGCCTCTTTCTGTGTGTTTGCTCAGTCTCCTGGGTGCTCATCACTCTCTTATTCCCAAACTTTCTGCCAGAGCATTAAAATTTCTCTCAAGACCATCAGACTCCTCGGAGGATGTTTTCATTCCATTTTCCTCTGAGACATCCTGCCTGGAGCCCAGCGTCATCTTCCAGTCCAGGCTGGTTGCCCCAGAGGCCGGATGCTAAACTGGGTCTAGAAATGCCCTTTACCATCATCTTAGGAATCCCCTTGACACCACTCTGTACTTAGTGGGATTTGCTGCTTTCCAGACTCTGAAATATTCTTTTTCTTGATGTACAGCATGTGTGTAAGGAAGCCAGGGATATATCTTCCCATGAAATGCAAGTGGACTTTCTGACTCTGTGTAGTCCTTGGAGATCGCTTTGTGGTTTCAGCTTCATCTCTGGACTTGGCCACCCTAAGGAAGGTCCAGGCTTTCAGGGACCCAGCTGATGTCAGGGACCCAGAACTTTCTCCAGGGAACCTCTCCCTCCTCCCTGGAAGTTCAGCTCTTCTCTCTGCTCAATCTGGTGATTGGGAGAAGCAAGGGAAATAGTGGGCAAGTGAGAACACCTGTTGAATTGAAGAATGGATGAATGATCAAGCTGCCCAAGGCTATTCTAGTGGGAGTCAAGGTGAGATAAGACCATTGGCCAACCCTTATTTCTGGTAGCTGGTGGAGATGTAAGTTTAAAAAAAAAAAACATGGAAATCCAAGCAGATAGAGTCCTGTCTACGAGGACTTTTCCACGGGACACCTGCTTCATGGAGATCACTGAACCAGGAGCTTGGCTGAGAGTCATCACTTTCATTCATTCGGCAAACAGTCCTTGAGCATCGCATGTTGGCTATGTGACGGCTAAGAACACGGCAGTGAGCCAGGCTGTGAATATAGTCTATGGACAATGACAATGATAGTAAAAGCTACACCATGAACATTTGTTCTCAGTGTAGCATATTCTGGGCCCGGTACCTGGCAGGCATCTGTCATCTTATTTAAGCTCCTTCCCACCTCTGACTCCTCCTGCCCTATCGCCCTTCCTGCAGCCACACTGACCTCCTCTCTGTCACCCAAACATCCCCCTCTCTGCTCTTCCCTGAGAATGCCTGGCCCCCAGATAATGACAGAGCTGGCTTATTGTTGTCATGGGAGTCTCTCCTGGCTGCCCTGCCTGAATGGACTTCATCACCATGCTCTGGCATTCTCTGCCACTCACCCCCTTTAGTGATGCCACTTGCTCATTGTTGTCTGCATCCCAAGTGGAATGTCTGCACTCCCAGGACATTGCCTGACACAGAGCAGGTACTCAACAAGTGATGCTTGGGAACTTTGAATGAATGAATGAGTGAACAGAGATACTCAGGAACTTTGAATGAATGAATATGGATGAATGAATGAATAAATGCAGGAAAGACCTAGTAAGACTCCACTAATTGGTCCTGTAACATTACCAGGATAACTGATGGTAAGTTCCGGCCATTCTTGGTGAGTGTCTATTGAATGTGTGAGTGGTGACAGCAATCAGCTCTCACTGTAACCTGTGGGATGCAAGTCCCCTCACAGATGCAGGACCTGAGGTTAGACAGCACGCTGGTCCGGGTTCCCTGGAGGCCTGACTCCAGAACCCTAGTGTTTCTCTAGGAAACCGGTGAGCAGAGTCCAGTCGCTCTAACTGCTTCCTTTTCCTGTGTGGATTACATCCTCATCTTATTACAAGTAGCAGTTATAATCTCAGTGCATGAGCAAAATTGTCCACATTTAAAATTCATCTGCAAATGCTACTGTTGTTTTAAATTCCTCCTGTGCGGGAAACAAAGGCTTCTAGGCTTAAGGCCATTATTGACATGCACACTGCTGATAGAAACCAAACTTACCCTGCAGCTCATAAAACTGCTTTGTCTCCATGTCAAATGCTTCCCTTGCATGTTTTGGATTTAGTTGTTGTATGTGGATAGCAGGGACATCTCAAGCTGACCTGAATTCATTCAGTGTCTTGATTTCTCCTACGATGCATGCCTGGGATATTGATTGACACTCATGGCTTTCTCAGCTCTGTGGAACCCAGGGACCTGATTTGAGGATCTGTACATGCCATAGTTTAGTTCCATGAATCTCACTGTTTTTTCTGTGGAGTTGATATTAACAGCACCTGCAAATGACCCCCACCCACACCCACTCTCATCTCATCCCACCCTGCATCCATACTCCCAACCCCATCACCAAGGTGCCTGGGAGCTTATTACTCTGAGTGTTACATGCCCGTCTGTCCTAGCCAAACGACCAAAGTTTTGGCAGCAGGAAACCTACGTCCCTCTTGAACAGTTACCCCGTCCCCTGAAATAGGTGTGTTTGCTGCCATGTTAACTCACCCCCTGGACATTTCATCCCTGGATGACAGGCCCCTTCTTCTGACAGTAGGACTGTGGGTCTCCCTAGGAGTCAGAGTCCCTCTCAAGTCTAATGTGTTCTGTAGGAAACCGTGAAGGTCTCAGCCTCCCCATGTGCTGGCGGTGGCCCCCAAAATGAGCCTCGCTGAAGCTGTCGCCTAGATTCTGCAAGAATTCAGCACTGCCAATTTTAACTGTTAATTTTAGCTATCTATTCTGATTGCCCAAATGGCCCAGCTTGCAAGTAGCCTACGGAAACGAACTCCTGATTTGCGCTTGAAGCCAGAAACGAAGTTGTTACTGCCAGCTTGGCTGTGTTTTAACAGCCTGCGATGGAGTTTTTGGTTGTTTTTCATTCTGCCAGTTGAAAACTATCTTTGACTCAAGTGGTTCAATGGTGGTGTTATTTATATAATCCCTGTATGTTCTCTAGCTGTTTTGTCTCCCCCCACCCCCCGCCACAACCCCATTTCATGATTTATTGTCGCTCTTGTTTTTGCTTTGAAAGGAACAATTTTGAGCCTTTGAAGACTGAGCTGGATTCAAGAATGGTCGAGTTAATTTGCTGGGATCTATTCACTTCCCCAGCTCTGAAAAACCTCATTGGAAATATGTGCGAATGAAATGCATATGAATGAACACTATGGAAATATCAGGCTACTTCTCGCTTTTAGTCCGTGCTGGGGACGCCAAGCCTTTCCCTCTTTCCAACTAATGGAAGTTTTCAAGTGAGAAATAGAAGCTGTTGAGACAGCTCTCACTGGCTTATTTATGATATCCAACTCTTCTCTTTATTATTCTCCAGCCACCTGGAGAAACTATTCCTCCAGAACTGAGAATCCTAAATGTAAATCTCAGTTTAACAGATGGGCTCTTTCTTGTCTGTCATATGCTTAGTTGTGTCTGACTTTTTCGACCCCATGGACTGTAACCTGCCAGGCTCCTCTGTCCATGGGATTCTCCAGGCAAGAATACTGGAGTGGGTTGCCATACCCTCCTCCAGGGGATCTTCCCAATCCAGGGATCGAACCCACTTTTCTTACATCTCCTGCATTGGCAGCCGGGCTCTTTACCACTAGTGCTACCCTTATGCAGCAGTCCAATCTCACCAGCCTCTCCATTCTCTGCCAGATGAGGGGTGCTTTTCACTTTTTACAAAGAGCATCAGACCCAGCCCAAATCCATTCCATCTTGCCCAAAGGAAGGAAAAAAAATGAGACCTGATTTAGACCCTGAGAATGTTGGGGCTTGTTAAAAGAATGAATATCAATGACCCACACTCCCTGATAACTTAGATATTAATTCTGCTGTCTTTTTCCCTCTGTAAACATTCGCTCTTATGTCTTTTTTCATCACCCAAAAGGCTCAGGTTGAAGCTAAGAAAGAACATGAAGGTGCAGTGCAGCTGCTAGAGGTAAGTGAGCCAGCCCTGCTGGCTTTCTTCCCGGGGGTGAGTGAGCTCAGGGCATGCTGTGTTAATGCTTTGTAAAGTAGTAACCGACCTTTACTGAGTGCCCACTGGGCACCCATTACTCCTGCTGTTTACATATCCTCCCATGTCGTCCTTGCAAGCGGACTATCAGATTGGTATCATTATGAGTCCCATTTGTACATGTGAGGAAGTGGGGCCCAGAGAGGTTAAGCAATTTTCCTGTGGCCACACAGCCAGCATCAGAACTGCGGATCTCAGAGGTGGTCTGCTCTCCTCTGATTACATGGGAAGCAGGGAGGGTGAGCCTGCTTCTTTGCAGGAGAAAGGGAAGTGGATCATTCCTACCAGTGTCAGGTGAATGAGGGTATTTTAAGGAACAGCGCTAAGCCTGAGGAAGTACCTGGCATCTGGGGAGGCGTTTGCAGATTTAGAGAAAGGATGGCGAAGGGAATCGCAGAAGTGAACTCAGTCAAGGAGTGGCCACGGGCACTGTCCTCATGAGCACAGCAGGAGTCACCCTCCCCAGCCACCCGGAGGCCTTTCTCACCGGCTCTGATGGTGGCGGCTTGGCAGGAGACGGGTGACGTGTCAGAATCACTCTTCTGTCCCCAGTTGGTGGCCTCCCGTATTCTCGGGAGTGGAGGAAACTCCTGGGGCCCCCTGGGGGGCCTTTGCAGTCTGCATGCCTCATGCATAATAAATGGACATAAGGAATCTCCCTGTTGAAGACAGAGGTCCCCCAATTACTGACCCCACACTCAAGACACAACAGCAGGAGGAGGTGGCTGCACAGCATGGGGTGGCCCCACAAGCCCTCCTCCCCTAGTTCTATTCCATCCAGAAAGGCCAGGAGGGCCTCTCCCCTGGGCCTGCGTCTCTGCATATGGGAAACGCCTGTCCTCTTTAAGATGACCTTGTCTCTTGTCCCCTGGGCAGCTGCACGACCACTTAAAACAGAATATGTGCATCTCTTATATTGCCTTTTAAAATCTATTCCTCCCCCAGGAAATGGTTCCATCATTATCATCATATATATTAAAATTGATTTTTTTGAAAGCGTCCATTAGCTAATGAATATCTGGAGGGCTGGGAGTGATAAATAGCAGGTGGGAAAATATATAACCCGGGAGAGTGGAAACAGACCTCCCGATGGCCATACATCTCCCTGAAACAGCATTTCATTCCCCTCGCAGGATCACCCACCGCAGTTTGATTTGCATAGTCTTCTGGCTGGAGGTCCAGTTTCTCTTCTTCCCCTCACCCCAAGCCCATCGATTTGATGGTCTGTGTTGTTTTAATCCGCCTTCTGAGCTGCCGCTCTGTGACAGGCCCGCCGAGGTCACGTCACCCGGGGCTGGTGCAGGGTGCAGGCCCCAACACGTGGGGGGCGGGTGTAACGTGCTTTGGTTGGGAAAACGGAGAAGGCCACACAGATGGGCTGAGAACCTGGGTTTTCTTTTATTCACAATGTCTTCCTGTCATTGTGTTTTGCTTTGCTCTTTACCCAGAACACGCTGGACAGCATGCAGGTATTTTAGCGAGTGATGTCCTCCCCTCCCATGTGCTTTGTGAAGTTTTGTCCCATGAGTGGACCGGCCGTGTGCCCCTGGGCCAGCTCCATCTCCCTCTTCTTCTGAACATGTGCAGCTTCTGATGCAGTCGTGGGTGCCTGGCTCTCCCTCGCGTGGGGGGAGTCGAGGAACTCCTCTTGGGAGTTCTGCCCCAGGGAGACGCTTTAATCCAGGCGTTGGGGCCCAGGGTTCTGTCCACTGTGAGTGATGAGCGAGCCCAGTGAAGCCGGCTTCCATCCTCAGGCTGGAAGGATGTTCTGTGAATTCAGATGACCGCGGGGAGCAGAACTGTCAGGATGATTCTGGCCTCGGGCCAGCCGCATGCTTGCACGGCCGAGAGCCCAGAATTCGGTGGGTCATCAGTATTCACGCCTTGCACCTGAGTGGTCCCCTTGCTATCCTGTGTTATGGGCAAGCAGTGGCTTCTCCAGCAGCGGAGGGGCCCTTCCTTGTTCTTCTCACAGGCAGCCACCTGGGGAAGAAGGGAGATGAACTGTCTCTCCAAACAGGGTTTTGAGCCTTTTCCAAAACTCTGAGTTTGGCCGTGAATTTGTAGAACTGGTGATGACTTTACTCACTCTTGGGTTGTTCTCAACGTGGGCTTCCCGGAACCAGTGTGGGCTTTCCGGACCCTCAGTATAGGTATCACCCGGGAGCTCGTTAGAGCACAGATCCTCAGCGTCTGCCTGCAACCTGCTGGAGCAGAAATCCGGGGTGGGGCACAGATGTCTTTTAACCAACCCTCCCGCGCAGTTTAAGAAGCGTTGTTTAGAGAGTCTGCTAGGCTGGTTACAGGAAGGAGAAGTAGCTGAAGGAGGAGGGTGCTGGGAATCTTGGCCAATCCTGGCTCGGCGCCTTTGTAACTGGAAGTGTTGACCAAGAACAGCCTGAGCGAGTCCCCACCACCGGGTCCTCAGGAGCATCTTCAGCAGGAAATTCATGTTCTCCATGCCTGACTTCAGTGAGCCCCTCTACTGAGCAGAAAGACCCACTTCCTGGCACAGCTAGGGATAACAGAGTGATAGAGAAGGGCTGCCCTGGAAGTAGTGTTAGGTTAAAACCCCTCGGAACACTCACATGCACACATCTGGTTCTGTGGATGTCTCAGTCCTGTTTTCTGATGAGTGAGCAGCCAGGATGTTTGCGGATGAGAGGAGGGGTCTTTATTCCTGGTCAGGACACCTGAGGACCGATCCGGGCTGGCTTGGCGGGCTGAGCAAAGACAAGGATCAAGAGTCAACTGAAAACACCTTTCCAGAATTGGGATGGAGAGCTCTGCTTGCAAACCCAACAACCTAAGAGCAGGTGGTAGTTACGTAGCTTCCTTGATGCTTTATAAAGTTCAGGACAAAGAAGCAAAAGAAAATAGCCACAACAACAACAGTGCCAACAGCAGTGTCTATTGAATCCTTCTCAGCTGGGCATTGTTCAGGATGCATCTGTGGGTTACCTAGGAGATGGCAGTCATACTGTCCCTCTCATTTCCATGACAACCAGGGGAACTGAGGCATGGTCAGGTGAAATGACTTTCCAAAGCCTTAGGGGCAGATGGCCAGGGGCAGAATCTGGATGCCAACCCCAGGAGTTTGGCGCCAGAATCCAAAATCTCCACTACTGTGTGGCAGCATCCTCTGACCTCGGAATCCTGACCTCCCTGCAAGTCAGGGTTAGCTCTCCTGCCACCAAAAGGTGGATTGGCTCCCGCAGCAGCCAGACTCAGAAACACTGGGCAAACAGCTCACCCTGAGCTCTGGGCATCAGCAGAGACAGGAGTGCACATCCTGTGGTCACGAGTGACAAGTGTGATGGAATTTAATCCTTTTAATACCACCCAGGGAGGTTGATAGCTTCCTCCTCATTTCACTAAGGAGACAACAAAGGCACAGAAATGCTGACCCACCTGCCAAGGACACACAGCTCCTAAGAGCAGAGCAAGGGCCCTGAGAGTCCACAGGTAACACCACATCAAGTCGCTGAGAAAGTCAAGTGCAAAGAAGAAATGGTCCATGACTGTAGGGCTGATAAATCATAACACCTGCTGGGCTGGGAGGCAGTGAGCTCCGGAATCCATTGCAGGGGGCATCTTTGCCCGTGATGAGCTGGTACCCACCTGTGTGTCTCAGTACTGAGGCTTTGTGTGTGCGCCTCGTGTGGTTTGTGGCTAATTATTCAGGGCTCCCAGGGTTTGTTGGCCACTTCCTGGACCAAGGCGTCCACCTTCAGGTGATGCCAGAAAGAACCTGAACAGGTTCCATTCGTCCCCAAGTCTCATCCAAGAGCAGTTAGGGCCCTGAATCTCAAGGTAGGGGGTCAGCATCTGGGTTGCCCATGACTTTTATGGGTCCTGGGCTCCTTTGGCTTTCATGGGATCCTTCCTCCCTTAAGATATTAAAAATTATATTTTACATCTGCTTGGGTACAAAGATGAATGTAATCCAGCTTGGATTCATTATTATTATATTCATTTTTTCCCCTGATTTTAAAGGAAATTAAAATGAAAACTTTGCCACAGGTCCGTAAACAAGGCCTGCCTTATGTAAACAAGGCCTGTCTTATGTCTTATGTTAAGATACTCAGTGATCATCTGGCAAGGAAGTGTTCTTGTGGTTAAATAAATCTGTTTTTGTCCCATCAAACAGATGACCTTAGTCTCTGATCTCTTGGTCTCTTGGTGTAAGTCAGGTTAGGTGCAGGTGCAAAATATTGCACTCAGCACAACCGTTAATTTCTTGGCACTGCAGTTATAGGAATCCTCCATGAAGCTCCTCTCCACGTGGTAACTCAGGGATCCAGGATCCCTGTATCTTGAGGCTGTGCCAGCCAGAGCATATGGCTTCCTGATCACCGTGGTGGCAGGGAGAGCTCTTCTATGTCTCAGCTATAGAGGCAACAGGTGTCACCTCTGTTTCTGGGTCACCAGCCAGAGCTAGTGACCTGCAGGAGAGGCTAGGAAGAGCAGTCACCCTGAGTGGGGGCACTGTGGCATGGTTCTGCCACATCTGAATTCTGGAGTCCATACAAGGCAGTGCAATTTTGCTACTAAAGTGTGACAATATTAACCAAGTTGAGAATCTGAGAAGTGCTCAGATAAAGAAGCTTAATGTTTTGCATTTCTATCTCTTAAGAATTCTCTTTCCCCCAGTAATTGTGGTGGGCATGGGTTCTCTGCCTCCTGGGAATAACCTTGGCAACCCTGTACCCATGAGTCTTAGCTGGAGGACAAGGTTGTTAGGAACAAAGAAACTGGGATCCTCAGGTGTTTGGGGGCTCACCTGACTCCAGCTTCATCTCCCTAGTGCTCCCCATCTCACTGCAGTTGGTGCCTTGAGGGCAAAAGCCACAGTCAACAGGCAGCCCTGGGTTCTGATGTCCCACTTGTGAAATGTATTTATCTGCACACAGGGCACCTCT